ACACAAAACTGATAGGTTTAAAACGTTCCAATCAGAGGCTGACAAATAATCCATGATTCATATGGCTTCACATAGATGAACAGTTAAGAGTTAAGATAATTGGTTAAACACTCAAAGAGGTTTCTCACAGCACAGAGAGTGCTAGAGTTGGGAGACACATGGCCTTAGGGACCAGGTTACTGCTCCTGAAATGATATGAAAAGCTACTGAGCAGTGACCAGGAAAAGTGAGAGTGAGACAGTGAGAGAGCAAGAGAGAAAAGAGAGAGGGAGAAACATGAGTAATGGAGAAGCAAAGACACACACACACACACACACACACACACACACACACACACACACACAACAGAGATACAAATAAATGTTTAGAGAAAATTTTTTTAAAAAGAAATCAGATAACACAATCATTTGTGCCATTTTGGACTTTTTGTTGTTTGGATTTTTCTGGATTCCTGTAAAAACTTTCTGTTTTCATTTAATAAAATTTGTGTCCTCCTAACTCCTTTTCCATGGATTAGTTTAAGTGGTAGTATGTGTGTGTGTGCGCGTGTGTGTGTGTGTGTGTGTGTGTGTGTATGTGTGTGTGTCTGACCAAGAAGGATCCTTACAGAATAGTCCACATGGTCCCAAGGACTTCTCTTCATAGTATAATTCCTCCCTAAAGATGTGGAGGATTGTTTTATTTAAATTTGTCTGGTTCTCAGTTTAAAACTATGTAAATTTCATTGCACTCTGCATCTCTGCCCAAGACTATCACTGTATTATCTCTAAGGTGCATTTTGATCTGATATGTTATGATTTTGTTGCATATGAGTTAATCATCTTTGGTGATCCTAACTTCATATTCATGAAATTCAGTCCAGATCTATTCCCACACCTCCTTCCTCTCCTTATCACAAAATCCTTAGGTTCTGCTGTAAAGCAGTGATAAAATAAATGTTATTCTATTGGGTCTGCTTCGTGTGGTTCAGTTTCATTTAGTAAAGGAAAGGCTTTCACTTTTACACCTCCTACTGATAGGCATATACACAATGTAGACCATAAATAGTAAAAGACAAAAATGTTCTAATCTAGTAAAGTGTGACTAAACTTGCTTCAGACAATTGTGGGACCATCTCTGAAGATAAATGATTTGCTAATGCTGATACCATCACTGGCTTAGGCAACTGAGGAAATGCTCTCTTCCCACCCAGCCCAGAAAAAGACTGCACTAGTAATTTGGCAATAAATCAAATCCTTGATTATGTTCTGGCTGTCATTTAAAAATATTAGTCTGCCGTGCTATGAAGATGTGTTATTTAATTGCAGTCTTAAATAAGTCATTTCCTATAGAGCTCAGTTTATGCTTAATTCATACGAGCTCTCACTGAGCAGCACATGGCATGGTGGAGAGCCATGGCCTGAAGCACTTTCTGTGCTGCCACATCTGGGTAGCTGGGAATTGAATGTAGCTGACAGGTGCTTCAAAACAGCCAAGGCAATCCCGCCTCTAATCAGCAGTATTCTGAGCAAATGGCATTTTCATGTTACACCGCCTCTTGTGATTCTTTATGGAGGCATGGTGGGAAAAAATTTCTATGCATACTTCCCACGGTGGAACAGATTCAAAGAGGTTAAAGGGTTTCCTGAAGGTCAAGAAGCCTGTAAGAGCCAGAACAACTCTGGAACACAGGTATGGAACTGTGTAGGCTAGATAGTTTCCCAGTATAACGTGGAATCCCTCTGTAATTAGTACTTGCTATGGCATCTATTAAAGTGCTTTGCATGCAATGGTAATGCAGGAAATGGGAGTGGAGTTAAATTGATTCCCAACAAAGCAAGTAGAGTTGAGTATCAAGCCACTTACATAAGTAGAATGTTTAGGTACCTTTCTCATGCCTATTTAATGCCACAATAAATGAGGGTATGCTTGCATTCCTACCACAGGTACTGTGTCCACTAGACTTCCTGTTATTAAGGTAATTTTTTACTCCGATAGTGAATATCAATTAAAATAGATTAAACATCCAGCTCCACGGCCTGGTGGTTAAGGCAGCCAGGTTCCACATAGTCAACCACGTGGTTTGAGTCCTGGACTCTGCAGCTTAAGAAACATACCAGGTGTGTGTGTGTGTGTGTGTGTATAAATATTATTATTTATTACTTATATTACTAACCTCTCCTCTAGGAGTCAGCACAAAATTTTGCTTTTAGCTGAGAAGCTGGCCAAAATGAGGCAACATGGATCAATTAACTATAGAGTTCTCAGAAAACACAGTGTCGATACATACATAAAATGTAGGTCTCCTAATTCCCATCTTTCTTATCGAATGGCAGACTACACTGCCATTTTACTCTCTATAAACCACTGGGATAAACTTACCACTTTTCCTCCTGAGGGAATGGTTTATGATAAGCATGAAACATTTCATTAACTGTAGCATAGGAAAGTAAAATCAAATGTCATAATTGATCATGAAATGATCAACCATATAACTAATTAGGACCAAAGAGCACAACGATAATGAGCACCTTAGATTTATAAAATACCTTTTAATTTTCAAAGCATTTTCATATATGTCATCTTGCTCAATCTTGATGTGATATTTTAGAAATGAGACATGTGTTTACACCCCCTTCTAACCTAGATTTCTGCAAGGGCTTAATCAGTCAAGTCTCTGTTCTCTACAAATGCTCTTCAGAGTGCCCACTCTGGAGTCACACACATCTGCAGTCTTTTGAAGATTAAAATTTCAAACTTATTGCATTAACCAATGGTAAGAGAAGTAAAATTAAAATTAAAGTTATTTAGCATCAAAATCTCTGGAGAGCTTTAAAGTGCCATTAATAGGGGATGATTAGACTATCAAACCAAATCCCAAAGTTGAAACATTATTATAATTGCGTTTTCATTTTACCCATTTTGTGGTTGCTTCCCTCATTCAGGGTAATGGCAGGTTTTTTGTTTTTTTTTTTTCTTTTTTTTTTAAGTGAAGCGTTTGGAATTGTTTGCTATTCCAGTAGGAAAAAAATGCACTTTCTAATTTCTACTTGTATTTACAGGTTCACAACAGGGGGCTGAACTGTACTGTCCACCCTACAATAATCCATCTGACCTTTGATTTTTCTCAGTAAAAACAGGGAGCTGGATAAAACAATCACTTAGATCCTTTGCCCAGTCTCAGTTTTCTGAATCTTATTTCTGTAATACTTTCCTTTTTTCCTTATGGTACACTATGTATTGGTCCTTTATTGGCCTCATTATTCGGATTGAAAGTTTTTTGACAAGAGATTATTGCTATGTCTATGGTAAAGTCCTGAAACTCAGTGTAAAGGATGTTCTTATATTATTAATGGTAATAGTGATTACAGTACTGCTGCCATTTTATTTTTTATTTTTTTGAAATTGTCAGAGGGCATGTGCATTTATCAGAGAGACAGAGAGAAAGAAAGAGAGGGAGCGAGAAAAAGCAACTCCCCACTCCCAATGGGGCATGGACATATCACAATCCATTTTCCTCCTTTTCTCCAAGCTGTCAGGATTTTGAGCATGCACATGCACATACCGGAAGTGTTTCAAAGTTGCTATGGTGGAACTCGAACTGCAGTCATCCATGTGTGATCCAGCTCCCTCAACCACCAGATCAAATATAGTATTTTAACAAATAAAACAATTCTGTGAAGTATGCATTGCCATCCTAATTTTTCATATTAGAAAAGCTAAAGCTGAGAAGTAATTGCCCCAAATGAAAACTAAAGCCATACTATGAGTAAGGAACCCTATTTTCAGAATGCCAGGACGAATTTTTACACCCCAGTTCACAAGCAGAACTGACGGGTTTACATTCCCAGCTTTTCCTGAGAAACTGGAAGCTCTAGCTGCATTGTGTATGCATGGCTGCATGTCAGAAGAAGCTGCTTCTTTTCCAAGAGTCATTTGTTCTCCACTTCTTTCCCATGGTATCTGCTTCCCTCTTCTGTTGTGCTCGTTCTGTTCTATTTATTTACTTAACCCCATATGAACTTGAATTTGTGACTACCCATTAATCTCTTTTGTTTCCCTATTAACACAGGAATATTAGTTTCTTCCATCAGTCTGAAGAGAGAACCTATCCAGTTCCGCTAACTCATTCTAAAGTACTGTTACTCAATCCCCATTGATTTTCCAGACTTATTTCTTGCCACGTTTTTTCATTAGTCCATGTACACAAGAAATTCTTCTTAGATAGTTTGGCTTGCTCACATTCCCAAAGAAGCTGTAAGTTCTGGTTTTGATTACCTCATATGTTAGTGAGATTCATGTGTAAACCATTTGCTAAGAAAGGAAGTAAGAAAAAGGATTGCCTTTAAACACACTTAGACTTTGCATTTCTACCAAATGGTAATTGGAAGTTTTTGTTTTTCTTTTTGATGTCTCCAAGAAAAAGGAATGATAGAAAGAAAACCACCCTCGAGAGAGAAACAATCTCTTACTGTTATGTGGAGGACATATGAGGTTTCAAAATAAATGTCCTCACAGAAAATGAGAGATTGTAAAAGTTATTATCAGCTGTTTCATCGCAACAGGCTATTGTAGGGGGGTTCTACCCCACTGATGGAACAAGTGATACCCAATGTCTTCCTATTATCTTTAGTCATAAATCTCCTGATAACAAGATATTGCTAAGTCAAGCCTGTAAATTCCTAGCTATGTTTTTGGCATTCCAGGTTATAGATTATGCCATGAATCTTTTTTCTTTTTTTGCTTTTTTTTACTTTGCTACAGTCATGCCAACTATGTCACCATTTTTTGTTATGTTTTGTTTGAAATATTCTTTCTATTCACTTTGTTCCAAAGATGAAGCATAAATAACAGATATTGTTAGAGTAGCAAATGAGTGCATGATGTCAGTTTTAATCTTTTTAATTTGTGCAGAAGTTACTGAAATCTGACATAATTATTACTCGTATACTTTGTATGTATGTCTTAAATTTATTCTCAAATGTTGTAATATTTGTGATAGTTTTGTATTATATACTCACAAATAGAACTTCTCATCCCATACTGGATTTAAGTTTCCAAAAATGGTTTTAGTTCTCCTTTTGTTCTTTCCAACTTGAACTGTAACATATGGGTCACTTGACCCAGTTTTGTCCTTTGCTTGCAAGCCTTGTGCGGAAACCACTAAAATAATGAAAATAAATGTTTTAAATTTCCTAAGAAGCAAACAAAATGATTATGAAAAAAAGTTTCTATCATTCTGTTCTGTGGATTTGCAAATGCATCCCCATCACTTTTATTCTTATAACCAAACTGGACTGTTTAAAAAAATAATTGGAATAATAATAATAATGATTGGGAAAAACAATGAAAAGATAGTGAATGATGAAGTGGGGAGATTAATGTCTCTGTATCAACTGACATGCATGGCATTCCCTTTTGAAAAAGCAATATAATACACTGTAAAGTTACATGCAATCCAATGTAATATAAACAAGATTATGATGATAATAAAAAAATAAATAATTTTTAAAAATGTTTAATAAAAGAATACACTGAATATTAAAAATCTACCTTGGCCTAATATTTGCTTTCACCACTAAACAACAGTAGCTATATACCTGTACATGCATATATATATATAAGTTATATACTCATATACATGTTATAGTATAGGTGTATACAGAAATGAGGCTAAACATATCTAAAGTACTCCACCTAATGCAAAGATCTGCCATTCAAACTGATTTATTTATTTATGTTTTTGCTTCAATATGGATCAACTGTACCTAGTAAAGAAACATCATTATTTTACTTCGTAAATACAAAATGAGTAAGTTAACTTGGTGAATGTTAGCATGATACACAGGCACCTGCTGTTAACATTACCAGCAACTTCAAAAGTTCAGTTTACTAGATGTCACTAAATTCAAATTACCTTGACTCAAGGATCAAATGAATGAGGGACACTGAACCAGTGGTAAATAAAACAATATCTGTTTTCTCATTTAAAACAAGCTTACTGCAGAGATTACTGTCTTCATTGCAATTTATCAGTGGCAAACAACAACAAAGTTAATCTCTTATAACCTGGAAGGTATTAGTGAGTAGACTGAAAAACAGAAACCTTTTTCCCATGAAAAAGCCTTCTATTAGAACATCACACTGACTGAAATTACTTGTTATCTAGTATATATTTTCTAAATTTGAAGTGCCAACTAGTCTACTCAATATGGACAAGATTGAAAAAGATTCTATTCATCTTACATGAAAATATTACTAGCAGTGATTTCTGAGACACATAAAGATCTGAACGTGGAATACTAATTTTGGATTTGTCGTTACCTGTAATGGTTATTTTTGCTGACCACTTGGATGTCCCGTCCAGTACACTCTGTTTGGCAGCCTTTGTATACTGTGCGAAATCTTCTTTAGAAATCTGAAACATCTCCTGAATTACTTCAAACACCTCTGGTCTGTTTTTCTCCCTGATCTTCATTCTTTCTTTCATGGCTGTAATAATGGTCTGAGTCTTGTCTTCAGCGCCATGCTTAGAACTCTTTTCTGCAGCTCCTGAAATGGAAAAATCAATGGTGATGTGAATGGACATGCAATTATTGTTGATGGCCCAAAGGAGGGAGACATAGGAGGAGGAGTATAAGAATGAAAGAAAGCTTAGATTCTAAGAAGTCAAGTCGCTTTTTTGGAAAATACTAGAATAAGTCACTATGCTGAAATTTAGAGTAACTGGTCCCTCCCTCTTTGCGTTATTGGCAATAAACTAACCTCCACGATTCCCAGGTTTCTTAGTTGTATTATTGAACTACATCAGGGATTTTGCAAATATTTTGTTTGAATTATCAAAAGGAAATTTCAGAAAGAATTCAAAAAGTGCACAACATCAAATATGTTACACATCGCACATATATTCTCAATGGGTATTTAAAATAAAATTGACAAGTAGATTGGAAATAACTGACAAACATCACTCAGAAATTAATCATTCAAATACCTGTATTCATCTAATGTACCTGATTTTGTTGGTGCAATTTAACATAATTAAATGTCATAAATTTTTGTTATAAATCAATACTTTTGTTGTATATAAAAATATAGGGAAGGATTTTACTTGGAATGAAAGTGATTCTGCTGTTTAAAAATACTTAGAAACTGGGGCCAGTGCATGGAAGGTTAGTTAAGGCACTGGACTCCCATGTGGCTGAGATCTGAAAATCACACCAGGTGGGTGTGCGTGCATGCCCATAATCCCAGGAAGAGAATGGAGGAGAAGGGATTGTGTCATGGCTATCCCCCATGGGAGTGTTTTTTTCACCTTCCCTGTCTCTCTTCAGTTAGGTGTGCACCCTATGACAAAAACCTAACAACAACAACAAATTAGAAACCACTGGGCTGGATGACCTGTAAAGAACCTGAAAGACCACTGACTTGAACTCACTTTTTGTCATGTATCCATAATTTTGAGAAGGCTGAATTCTCACTTTCTACCTTGATCTCTTTTATTCTCTAGGATAGTATTATTATTGTAATTGGTCTCAGTGTTCTGGCCATTTTTGTTTGTTGTACAAATCTTCCTGTCAGTGAAGAATTTCCAAAAGACTGTTCTTGGGGCTCTCACTGCTCATTCTCTGCCCAGTACTCTCCTTGCTCTGTGTGGCCTCCTGAGTTTTCCAATATTATAAAACAATTGAAAAACAGATCATGAATCTGTACCTCATAATTTCTTAGTGAATTTGAAATGAGAAACAAAAAACCCACATATGAATGGGTATGGGACTACCCTTGTTAAAACCAAACATTTTTTGACATAGCAGCAAATTAGATGTTAGTGAAAATAATTGAAAGACTTATGTTTCTAATTAGTAATTATTTTCATTTTCTTTTCATTTCATTTTTTTTCTATAAGGCTCATGTGCTTGTGAGAGAGAGAGAGAGAGAGAGAGAGAGAGAGAGAGAAGGAAAATGAGAAAGCATACTGAGGAAGGATGAGTACACCCTAATCCCTTCTCCCTCAGTTCTCCTCTGGGATTTTGGAAATGCATGCATCTGTGCTCAGTGTGTTTTTTCAAGCCACTGGTCAGGACTTAAATTGTGCAGTCAATCACATAAGATCCTGCCGCTGTAATCACCACGCCACCTGGCTGACCCACAATGCATAATTCTTACACAGTACTATTAGTGCAGGCTAGACTACATAGTTGTAACTACACAGCAGGCATATTTTATTCAATTATTAGAATAGTCATCAAATGGAAAAAAAAAAAAAAAAACAGTTCTGACTGGAAGAGGTTACCTGTAAGATTCCAGATGCCCCAGAAGTTTGCTCTGTGACTGCCATGCTTAGGATGTTAAAAGGGTTAGCAGTAACATGAAAATGTTGACTCTTGATTTCTATTGCAGCTACTAGTACCCTCAAAGG